GGGGGGGCGTTTAGGTGGAGAGGGGGGGGTTGGTAGGAGGGGGGGGGGGGGGGGTATGGAAGGGGGGGGGGTGGGGGTTGGCCCGCCGGGGCTGAACCACATATACATATATACATATATACATAACATACATAATATACTACATAATATATATATATATATATGACGGCGATGACATGGGGTCATGTAAGGACTACAGAATGAGGATTCGGGTCCATAGGACTTTGAAATTGGTTCCAGATCAACCCCAGACACGGAGAAGCACACCAAGAAGAAGCCGACAGCGCGGGAGCGAGCGCTTTGGGGAGGGAGATTGTCAATGGCCGCTCGTATCAGCCTCTCGTCCTGCGGGGGATTCGGACTTGGGGCTACAAATGTGGGTTTCCGAAATTAGGTGGTGCCTTTTTGGGGTCCTTATCATAAGGGAACCCCACTATTTGGGGGACTATATTAGGGCCCTTGATTTTCGTAGACCCCCAAGTGCACCTCATCCCTCAACCACCCTAAACCCTACAAGCCTCAAGTCTCCAAAATCCGGCGTCACCATGGCTACATGCTCCTACTCTTTGCTTAAGAAAGAAAGAAAACAATCCCTTTATTGCACCCTTATATTATAAGAATGTTTGTGTTTTTTGGGGGTTCTTAAGCAAATAAGAGACTCTACCAGAGTCGCTTGAGAGTTCCTTAACCAACGACCCCAGCCAAGTCCTTGCTCATAGGCAGCTCAGGATTGCGCACCAGCGACCCCAAAACCCTAAACCCTAAACACCCAAGGTCCTTGTTCATTGGCAGCTCTGGATTGCCGCAGCGCGCGTTCTTGGAAGACATGGTGGAGGTTCCCAGTAGGTACTCTTCGTCACCTTGGTAGCCAAGTAACCAAATTGAAATGAGGGCAGCCCCTTTGTGGGTGGGGTACTTTATAAGGGAACCAGAACCAAAAAAAGGGTAAAGGGTGCCACTGGGCTACCAAGTCACTCTTCCGAGGTACAATCATGATAGGAAGCCCGGCATCGGCTGCCACCTTCATGGTTTAGGGTTTAGGGTTTAGGGCTTAGGGTTTCGGGTTTAGGGTTCGGGTTGAGTGCTGAGGGTTTAGGGTTTAGGGTTGAGTGTTGAGGGTTGAGGGACAAGGGTAACCATATTCAAAAAAAGGCACCCTTTGATTTTGGGGTTGGTTACTTAGCGATAAGTGAACCTTGAACCAAACAACAAGGAAAAAAAAGGGTACAACTGAGCCTTGATCTCCCAGATGCACCAGAGCCTGCTGTATAAGCCCTGCCCACTTTCCCGGAGAGCTTCGTTGGGCACCACGAGCATCCGCTGGCAGGTGCTACTGCTGATGACTTCAGTGAAGGGGCTCTTCATGATGTTGTTGCCCAACTGCGCGTTGATCTGCTCAGGGGTGCCTTGAAAATTGGAAAGAAAGCAGATGAAGGCAACTTCCATCGCCCATGTGTTGGACAGCACGTCTTGGAAAAAGTCCCGCGTGTTCTCCACCCAGGCATGCGAGATCATGATCGTGACTTGCCTTGTTTCTGGATCTTTCTGCCACGAAGTCACGAAAAAATGGTGCGTTCCAAGCATTGGTTCGTCGTGAGCTATGAAACACGTATGGTCAGTTCTCTGAAAGATGTTGTTTTTCTTGTCTGGGGGGATCCTTGTACCCGTCCTATTTAGGGTACCCAAAAAGGGACCCTAACCTAGAGAACTGACCATCTAACCTACTATTTGCGTAAACCCCCCCCCCCCCCCCCCCGCCAAAAAAAATACTAAAATGAATAATCCTACTACCCTTATAGGGAAGATTATATCTCTTTTTTTGGGGAGGGGGGGGGGGTTCTTAAGCAAACAGTGGTTACGCGATGCCCGGGCCCAAACGCCAAGGCAAATAAGACCTTCTTGCATCCGGACTGAGCGACGCCGGACGACAACCAAGTTGACCCTAAACCCTAAACCCGAAACCCTAAACCCTAAACCGAGTCGCTGGGGCTCCTCTTGGTTGAGCATAAGCGCGTAGCCCATCTCGGTGCCACGGGTGGCGGGCTTCACAAAAGTATTCACAAAGTCATGGACGCTGCATTCGTCGTACCTCAAGCCAAGAGCAACCTTTAGGGTCCTAGTAAGCTGGACCCTCGACCCCAAACCCTACAGCCCCGGAGATTTAGGGTTTTGGGTTTACTCTTGACCTAACCCTAAACCCTAAACCCCAAACCCTAAACCCTAAACCCTTTTGAGGATCCCAGACCGTAAACCCAACAAACAGGAACCTCTGCCAGAGCCCTAACCCTAAACCCTAAACCCCAAACCCTAAACCCTAAACCCTGAACCCCAAACCCTGAACATGATCGGAGCACCAGTCGGGCTCCATCTGGCAGAGGTCAAAGAGCTCCTCGATCTGATCCTCGTCGTCCAGGGTCATTTTGGGTTTTGGGTTTAGGGTTTAGGGTTTAGGGTTTACGGTTTAGGGTTTAGGGTTTAGGGTTCAGGGTTTAGGGTTTAGGGTTTGGGGCTTAGGGTTTAGGGTTTAGGGTTTAGGGTTTGGGGTTTAAGGTTTAGGGTTTAGGGTTTAAGGTTTAGGGTTTAGGGTATAAGATGGTATAAGGCTCTAAGGTCTGCGTCTGTTGCTCAGAGCGGGCTCATGAAGAATGTCTCACATGGAGGTTCGTCGGAGGTATACGTAGGGGTTAGGGTTTAGGGTTTAAGGTTTAGGGTTTAGGGTTTAGGGTTTAGGGTTTAGGGTTTGTTGTCATAACTATACTTCTACCCCCAGCTACCTGACTCCGTCGCGCCAGACAACCGCTGTCCGAAACATTACACTTGCGGCCCAAAAAATGCCGAAGATATGCTAAGGTCCAGACCCAAGAGCGACCTGGGAATGACAATGAAAAAGGGAGCGCCTTGTTTTGGTTCAGAGAAGGGTTTAGGGTTTAGGGTTTAGGGTTTAGGGTTTAGGGTTTAGGGTTTTAGGGTTTAGGGTTTAGGGTTTAGGGTTTAGGGTTTAGGGTTTAGGGTTTAGGGTTTAGGGTTTAGGGTTTAGGGTTTAGGGTTTAAGTTCAGCGAACTTAAACCCCAGGAATAACGGGGGAATAAGGGCCTGCTCAGGATCGGTGCATAGCCTAAACCCGAAGCACCATGCCCCGCCCTAAGCCCTGAGCCCTGCGCTCCAGGCCCTAAACCTTGAGCCCTAAGCCCTAAACCCCAAACCCCTAAGCAGCCCCCTCCTGCCGGATGCCCCAGTACTTGGCAGTCACCCAAGTCCGATCTGGCAAGCGTTGGGGCCGAGGGCCACCCTTCCTGGGCTTTGGGGTGTGCTAGCTGCAGTTTAGGGTTTAGGGTTTGGGGTTTAGGCTTTAGGGTTTAGGGTTTAGGGCTTGGGGTTTAGGGTTTAGGGTTTAGGGTTTAGGGTTTAGGTTTAAGGTTTAATAGTCTTTCCTTCATGGTGCCCATGTATGGTTTCTATTACTAGTATCCCCAAAAGCGGACACCAATGATATACTCTCCCCAAGATTTATAAGGAACTCTATGTATACACACCAATTGCAGACACACAAACCCAGTTCCAATATTATCTTGGAACCAAGACCTACCAAGACATGAGTGGGGATGAGGGTTTAGGGTTTAGGGTTTAGGGTCTAGGGTTTTTCTTGGTTCAGGGTTAGCGTTTAGGGCTTAGGGCTTAGGGCTGAGGGGCTTCGGGCTAACGGTTTGCCCTAAACCCTAAACCCTAAACCTAAACCCCAAAACCCTAAACCCTGAACCCTAAAAGCTAAACGTCTGGGGTTTAGGGGTCCTAGAACACGCAGAAGCCCAGCTCCCCTAGAGCCAGGAGCCAGGATTCTCAGAGGCGCGGAAGGCCCGCAGGCCCTCCGCAGCCATCTGCCGTCGGTCCACGGAGGACCTACAACATCAAGGGACTAGAGGACGGACCCTAACAAGGGACCTCAGGGGGTATTTGGGGTTTTTGAAAAGGTTTCTTAGGTATGTAGGGACTATATGCGGTATATGTAGGGGAAATATGACCTCCGAAGACCTCCCACCCTCAGCCCTCTCTCTCACATGGAATTGGGGGTACCTTAGTGGGGCACCGAATGATGCAGGGAATCCTAACCCAACCCTCGGGTCTCTAGACCCTCCCCTCAGTCCTAAACCCCTGCATTCCCAGGAGTAGTCTCGATAAAAAGGTTGGGTTTTTGGCCCTCCCATGCGGTTTAGGGTTTATAAGGCTCAGGGCCCCTAGAACCCTAAACCCTAAACCCTACACCCTAAAACCTAAACCTTACACCCTAAACCCTAAACCCTGAACCCTACACCCTGAACCCTAAAAAACAGGGCCGCAAACCCCAGGTCGTCGAATCTGCTGGCCTGCAGCGTTTGCACACGCCGGTGCAGGGGGCTGGCTCAAGGGCAGAGCTTGAGCTCGACCCGCTACTCACGTAGGACCTGGGATACTTGGGCTTTGGGGTTTGGGGTTTAGGGTTTCTGGGGTTCCAGGCTTCTAGGGTTCTAGGGTTCTAGGGTTCTAGGGTTTCTGGGGTTCCAGGCTTCTAGGGTTCTAGGGTTCTAGGGTTCTAGGGTTTCTGGGGTTCTAGGGCTCTAGGGTTCTGGGGTTCTAGGGTTCCAGGGTTCCAGGGTTTCTGGGGTTCTTTGGGGGCTCCTTTTCCTCTTCAGGCCCCCAGGCTCGAGCAGCTAAAGCCCCCCCCCCAAGCCGCTGAAGAAACAAACACTAGCGAGCTGCGCAGGGTTGAGGGTTGAGGGTTGAGGGTTTAGGGTTTAGGGTCTAGGGTTTAGGGTTTAGGGCTTAGGGTTTAGGGCTAAGGGTTTACCATCCCCCGGTTTACCATCCCCCCTCCATCCTAAACCTTGAACCGTGGATCTTAAACCTAAACCCTAAACCCCAAAAAGGCACCCTCATTCCCCCCCCCCCCCCCCCCCCCCCCCCCCCTCCCCCCCCCCCCCCCCCTCCCCCCCCCCCCCCCCTCCCGAAGATAAAAAACGCCGAGGCACCCCGGCGCACCAAGTCCTAGGCTGCCCACGGAAAAAGAAGGGTGTAGGGTTTAGGGTGTAGGGTTTAAGGTTTAGGGTTTAGGGTTTAGGGTTTAGGGTTTAAGGTTTAGGGTTTAGGGATTGGGGTTTAGGGTTTAGGGTTTAGGGCTTAGGGCTTGGGGCTTGGGGCTTGGGGCTTAGGGTTAGAGAACGTTCAATGAGGAAGTCTAAGAGAGCCAAGCGAAGGTGGTCTAGCCAACCTTGCACCCCAAAATCTAAACTCCCTAAACTCCCTAAACTCCGATAAACTCCTATAGACTCCCTAAACCCTCAAAAACCCCTCAACCCTAAAAACCCCTAAACCATAAACCCTAAAAGTCCCTAAACCTTAACTCCCTAAGCCTCGAAAACCCCTATACCTAACCAACAAAGGGGAAACAGGTGTGCCACCGGGCAGTTAAGCTAAGCTTCTGCTGTTGAAGACTTCCGGTTCCGAGTCGGTGTCCCCGGCGATTTCGGGGACCGGCTCAACACAGCACTTCAGCATGAGGCACGGAAGAGGGGAAGAGGGGGGTTTAGGGTGCCCCTTCACCCTAAACCCTAAACCCTTTCGGGGGTTATGGTTTTGGGGCTTTTGTGGTCTAGTAGGGACTGAGTCCCGAAAACCCCAAGCCGAAAACGGGCTAAACCTACCTGACCCTGGGGCCTTCTGCGATAAGGCTTGAGGGTTTAGGGCTTAGGGTGTAGGATTTGGGGTGAGGGTCTTGTCCTACTATCCCTTAGGGTTTGGAGTTGAGAGCTTTAGACTGTCAGAGTCTTCAGGGTGTGGGGGGGGTCTATGGCCTAGGGTCTAGGGTTTAGGGTTTTAGGTTTAGGGTTTAGGGTTTAGTGTTTAGGGTTTAGGGCAGAAGATTTAGGGTTTAGGGTTTTAGGGTTAAGAGTGCAGGGGTCTTCGGGTAGGAAACCTCAGCACAGAGCACTTAAACTCAAACGGCCGCCGTCGCAGGACATCCCTGCTGAGCTGGGGTTGAGGGTTTCAGGTTTAGGGTTTAGGGTTTAGGGTTTAGGGTTTAGGGTTTTGGGTTTTGGGTTTTGGGTTCCCCAAAAACCCCTAAACCCTAAACTTAAGCAGATTATGGGCTCTAGGGCTCCGACCTCACCCGCAAAACACTACAACCCCCAAATGTAGACTCCAGCCTCAATAAAAACCCGGAGCTCCGTCAGCAACGACCCCAGCTCAACAGCATTCGCAACTCGCAAGTGAGGACTGGGGCTTGTAACGTTCGGGAATAGAGAAGCCCTGATCCCTAAACCCTAAACCCTAAATCCTAAACCCTAAACCCTAAACCCTAAACCCTAAACCCTAAACCCTAAACCCTAAACCCAAACCTAAACCCTAAACCCTCACCCTAACCCTAAACCGGTTGCCATGCTAAACCCTCATCCCTAAACCCTAAACCAAAGAAGCGGATAGGGACAGCGCCATCAAGTAGACGTGCGCGAGGTCCTCGCATGGTCGCATCGCGACCGCCCCCCTCGCCAACCCATATTAGGGGGCTTAGGGTTTAGGGTTTAGGGTTCAGGGTTTTAGGGCTTAGGGTTTAGGGTTTAGGGTTTAGGGTCTAGGGTCTAGGGTTTAGGGTTTAGGGTTTAGGGTTTAGGGTTTAGGGTTTAGGGTTTAGGGTTTAGGGTTTAGGGTTTAGGGTTTAGGGTTTAGGGTTTAGGGTTTAGGGTCCGACCCTGCACCCTGAACCCTAAACCCACAACTCAGACCTAAGCTCCAAGCCCAACACCGTAAACCCCACCCTACGGTGACCTAAACCCAGAGACCCCAACATCCCTTAATTCGGGAAGGACATAAGGTTAGGGTTTAGGGTTTAGGGTTTAGGGTTTAGGGTTTAGGGTTTAGGTTTAGGGTTGGGTTTGGGGTTCGGGGTTCGGGGTTTGGGGCTTGGGGTTTGGGGTTTAGGGTTTAGGGTTCGTATCATACGAGGACCCCTCTTACAATTTTTTAAGTGTGCTCCCCAACTAAAGGGCCTTGGGGTCTCCCTCAAACCCCAAACCCTACACCCAAACCCTAAACCCTAAGCCCTAAAACCTAAACCCCAAACCCTAAACCCTAAACCCCAAGCCCTAAACCCAAAGCCCCAAACCTTCACGACTTCATCCAACCTAGAGTTTAGGGGGTATACCTTTCAATCATCCCGGAATCTACGCATACCTAACGGTTTATGGTGTGGGTGTTACGGTTTAGGGTTTCGGGTTTTTGGGGTTTAGGGTTTCGGGCTTAGGTTCTACGATTAAGCAACATCCAAGCCATAAACCCTGAACCGTAAACCCGAAACCCTAAACCCTAAACCCTTAACCTTATTCTTAAACTTGCGAAGCTGAATGTCAGGGCGTCAGGAGACCTGACATTCAGGATTCAGGGTTTAGCGGCTCCTGAACTGTAAACTGCTCCATGAGACCCCCAAAGCCCCTAAATTCCCTGAGCCCAAGCGAGCCTCCCGCAAGGAATAAGAGACCCTAAACCCGAAACCCTTACCCGCCGAACCCTAAACCCTAAACCCTAAACCCTAAACCCTAAACCCTAAACCCTGAACCCTAAAGCAAAAGGCGGCTCCAGCTCATGGTGGCCCCAGAAGGACGATGGGTCCAGCAGCACCGGCGTGCCCTGCACTCCGTCTTTCTGGTGCTTTCGGGCGAAGTGGGTGAGTGAGTTCAAGCCCTAAGCCCTAAGCCCTAAACCCTAAACCCTAAACCCTAAACCCTAAACCCTAAACCCTAAACCCAAACCTAAACCCTAAACCCTCACCCTAACCCTAAACCGTAAAGCTTAAAACCTACACCGCCTAAACCCCGTGAACCAAAGAATCCATAACTCAGAGGGGGAATCTTGGGATGATCAGAAAGATTCACTCCCCCAGTCCCCCTTAACCAGCTCATGGTTGGGACAGTATTTAAGAAGTAAATGTCCATTCCTCATTGAGCTTAAGTGCCCTGAAAAATGTAAAATGTTACCCCACTACGACAAAGTTACATGGCTGTACTTAGCAGGGTAGCTACAAATCTAATTCTTAGCTGCCTTACTAAGAAAACCCAATAAACCCAAAAAAAGGCTAAGGATCTAAAGTTACAGTAAAGCACCACAGAGGCTAAGAAACCCGAGCTCTTAAGATGGCAGTACAGTAAACGCCAGAAAGTTGGAACATGGTCTAAGGATGATTAGAGCTGGGATTAGAGCTGGGATTCCCTTCTTGGTAGCCCAGTAACCACATTAAAATAAGGGGACCCTTTTTTGGGTTTTTTTTTTAAGAAGGGAACCCACAACCAAAAAAAAAAAAGGGTAAAGGGTACCACTGGGCTCCCGAGCCTTTTCTGTAAGGATGTTCCAACTTTTTGGGGTTTACCCTAAGTACCCTCAGTACCCTAAACCCTAAACCCTAAACCCTAAACCCTAAACCCTAAACAACCCTCAAGAAACCTTAGAGAGTGGTTGTGCTGATGCTCCGTGATGGCAGTAGGGTTCGTCAAGGAGAAGGACTTCTGCTTTTTGGCGAACACTGTGGCTGCCTTGGGTCCATTGCCAGAATTTTCCGTACCAATCACGGTGCAGGGTTTAGGGTTTAGGGGTTAAGGGTTTAGGGGTTTAGGGGTTTAGGGGTTTAGGGGTTTAGGGGTTTAGGGGTTGAAGGGTTGAGGGGTTTAGGGGTTTAGGGGTTTAGGGGTTTAGGGGTTTAGGGGTTTAGGGGTTTAGGGGTTGAAGGGTTGAGGGGTTGAGGGTTGAGGGGTTTAGGGGCTTAGGGGTTTAGGGGTTTAGGGGTTTAGGGGTTTAGGGGTTTTAGGGGTTTAGGGGTTTAAGGGTTTTGTGTCCTTAGATATGGAACTTCCGCCGGACCACTCTTTGTGCTGGCAGGATCTTGGTGGGTTCAGTACCAAACGCTAAGCCGTCCACCAGCGGTAACTGACTGCCCAGCCAGATGTAATCCATGTCGAGGAACAGGCCGCCTCCCTAATAGATGGCCAGCGCTGCAATCCAGTCATTAAAACGACACAGATGCAATCCCGCGGTGACAAAAGCTGAAGCGAGGTCGCAATCCAATAGGAGACCCGCGTTGCAAATGGTAAGGCCAGGAGTGGATTCTGCAAGTGAGGCAACGGAGTTCCCGTCGTGGGGTTTAGGGTTTAGGGTTTAGGGTTTAGGGTTTAGGGTTTAGGGTTTCGGGTTTAGGGGTTTAGGCGTTTCGTACGGGTGAGGTTTTAGGGGTTTTAGGGTTTCGGGTTTACGGGTTTGGGCACTGGGGGCTCAGGGGCTGCACCGGGGGGTGGGGAGTCAAGGGGCTATTGCTTTTGTCCCTTTGAATCCACCAAAAGTTCCCCAGGTATCCTGGGGTTTAGGGTTTAGGGTTTGGGGTTTAGGGTTTAGGGTTTAGGGCTTAGGGTTTTGGGTTTAGGGTTTAGGGTTTAGGTTTTAGGGTTTAGGGTTTAGGGTTTAGGGTTTATGTTCTTCAGTGCACGCGCGCGCGCGGGGAGTGCGCCTGCCCAAGGGCTTCGTGGGGTTTGAGGGTTTAAGGTTTTTTCGGGTTCAGGGTTCAGGGGTTTAGAGTTTGGAGTTTGGGATTTACAGTTAGGGTTGATGTTTTAGCGGCTTACACCTTAAGGCCTAGGTAATCAAGGTTTAGGTGCTAGGAGCTCATTGCTTACAGCATTCGTAGGACAAATCACCTGCCATAAGGCGCCCGCCCACTACCGACAGAGCAGACTCAAAACCCCCAAAGGCTCCAAGCCTGATATAAGTCAAATTTGGCAACCATATGTTGCAAGGAGTGCCCTTATTGGGGCTTAGCTTAAGGAAGTTTCCTCAAGAGTTCTTAAACCTCCGAATATGCTTCAAAGAACTAAACCCTAAACCCTAAACCCGAAACCGCACTTTGAACGTTCGCCTGACACAGCCAGAAGTTCCCACGCCAGAAGTCTCCATGAAGGAGGCAAGGCCTGGCGTTGAGTGAGCCAGGAGGATAGGGGGGGGGGGGGGGGGGGGGGGGGGGGGGGGGGGGGGGGGGGGGGGGGGGGGGGGGGGGGGGGGGGGTGGGGCCAGGGTTTAGGGTTTAGGGTTAGGGGTTTCTGGGTTAGTCTGGGTTTAGGGTCTGGGGCTAGAAAGGCTCAGCCAGAGTGAGATCGCCACCGCGCGGGGGGCAAAACGCAATCGCGCCATTCTTCTGGGCTGGACAAGCCAGAGAATCACAACTGGCTATTGCGAGGCCGGTATGGCTTGGGGCATGTGCCGCAGAAGATCCATGCCGTTGCTTTTATAGGAGTTTAGAAGCCAGTGCAGAGAACGCGATTTCTCCGTCTCCGCCTTGCGGTCCCCGCGCGTTCGTGGCGGACCATGCAAAAAACAAACAAAGCCCTGTCGGTCCTTGGTCTATTCTGCTGCTTGTCGCAAACGGATGATTTCCACGGCTTAGTAGCCCAGTAACCACCTTATAATAAGGGCACCCGTTTTTGGGTATAAGGGAACCCCGAACCCAAAAAAAGGGTAAAGGGTACCACTGGGATACCAAGACGGTAAGCCACGCCCGCACGCCGGACGCAGGCTGTTGCGCTCGAGCAGCACGGGCCTTGCTATGTGAGCACGAGTTCTTCGTTGAGCGCATGGCTGCTAGATTGCTGCTACCCTAAGGCTCCTATGTAGTACCTTTTTGGGGAAGGATAGAATCCCCTATAACTAACCCAAAAAGGAACTACATTGGAGCCTTCAGGTAGTGTGTCCTTTTCATACGAGGCTCCAGCCAACTCAAAAAGGAATCGTGCTTGCGGGGATCTCTTCGAGCACTGTCGGGTCGAAGACCACGAGGCAATTGACGGCGGCCCGCCAAGCTCGACAGAATTAGGGTTTAGGGTTTAGGGTTTAGGGTTTAGGGTTTAGGGTTTAGGGTTTAGGCTTTAGGGTTTAGGGTTTAGGGTTTAGGGTGTTTGGGCGAGCTCCTCTTCTTTCGCCTCGGCCTCCGCCGGCGCTCTTGCACCTGACAGACGACATGCCTGTCGTAACCTGGTACAAGTACGTTAGCCAAAGCTCGACGCCCGGCCCGGCGATTGGAGGGGCACCCCTTTGCTTCGAGATGCGCCGTCTGCGTAGACCTTTGCTGCTTTGCCGTGAGCCTGCTTGATACCTTGCACCCCTGTTCTCAACAACAACTAGTTGAAATCATGTCACTAAACCCTAAACCCGAACCCCTTACCCCTAAACCCTAAACCCCAAACCCTAAACCCTTGACCCTTAAACCCTCAACCGTAGTCCCTAGACCCTTCACCCCTACACCCTTTAGACCCGCCTTGAACCCTGCTCTCCCAGTTTTGGGACAAAGGTTGGGGCTTGGGGGTTAGACCAGAGCTCGAAACTTTCACAAGGAGCCAATCACTGGACCCTGCCTAGGACCCTTGATTTTGGGGACCCTTGCTAAAGACCCCTGAGGTAATGTCAGGGCCATATTAGGAGCAAATCCGCCGAGGCCTCGGGCCGGAGGTGTATAGGTTGTCAGAACAGGCACCCCCCCCAAATCCTCCCCCCACACCCAAAGCCCTTTTTCGGACCCCTTTTTTGGGCCTCAAATGGGTACCCCCCCTGGGAAACCGCAGTTGAAGCCCCTCCCAGCAGGGCCCCCCGCCGTCCCCACCCCCCCCCACCCCCCCCCACCACCCCACCCCCAACCCCCCAAGCCTCCTCCCCCCCCCCCCCCCCCCCTCCCCACCCCACCTCCCCCCTCCCCCCCACCCTGGGCCTGGCTCAAACCTACGATCACTCCAAGCCGAACCCTAAACCCAAAAAAACCCTCAACCCCAAAGCGTGAACCTTGAGCCCTAAACTAACCCTCAACCCCAAACCCCAAACCATAAACCATAAACCCGGAAACCCTCAACCCTCAACCCAACCCTTATTGCTTGGGTCCAGCGACTTGGGCGCCGCGGAATCACCATGCTCACGCGGATGCGCTGGGCCGGGCCGAGGCGGGTCGCGTAGCGTTAAAATTAAGGGAAACCAGGGTTCAGCCCCCACGGAAGGAGGAGGAACACCGACCATGGGTTGCCAAAACCTCCGCCTTCCAAACCCAAAGCTCGAAACCCTATACAAAAAAGCCCTTGGTTTGGGGGTTAAGGGTTTAAGGTTTAGGGTTTAGGGTTTAGGGTTTAGGGTTTAGGGCTTGGGGTTTAGGGACTAGGGATTAGGGTTTAGGGTTTAGGGTTTAGGGTTGCCTCAACTCGGCCCCTGTGAAGAGTGGCCGCAGCGACGTCTCCTGGGCTTGGTGGCTTCTGGCAACGAGCCCCGGGCTTAGGGCTTTGTGGGGTTTTGGGTTTATAGGGTTTAGGGTTTGGGGTTTAGGGTTTGGGGTTTAGGGTTTAGGGTTTAGTGCTTAGGGTTTAGGGTTTAGGGTTTCGGGCTTAGGGTTTAGGGTTTAGGGTTTAGGGTTAAGGGTTAAGGGTTTAGGGTTTAGGGTTTAGGGTTTAGGGTTTAGGGTTTAAGGCTTGGCGTTTTGAGGTTTAGGGTTTGGACCGGTGCCTATGCAACCGGTCTCAACCCCTTACCAGACTGTGTGCGTGACTGGGTGCGCGGGTGTGTGGGTGTGGGAAGAGGTTGTTTTCGGGCAGCAAACCAGCTCGTTTCCCCATCAAAAAGCTCCAGCAAACCAGCTCGTTTCCCCATCAAAAAGTTCCAGCAAACCAGCTCGTCTCCTCATCAAAAAGTTCCAGCAAACCAGCTCGCTTCCCCATCAAAAAGTTCCAGCAAACCAGCTCGTTTCCCCATCAAAAAGTTCCAGCAAACCAGCTCGCTTCCCCATCAAAAGTTCCAGCAAACCAGCTCGCTTCCCCATCAAAAGTTCCAGCAAACCAGCTCGTTTCCCCATCAAAAAGGGGGGGGGGGTTGGGATTGGTTGGGCGTTGTCTGGCCGAGGATTCTCGATAGGGTTTCCAAAGCTGTTGAAGGTGGGTGGGCCCTACACCAAGGCAGGTTCCACGTCAATGCCCACCTAAACCCTAAACCCTAAACCCTAAACCCTAAACCCTAAACCCTAAACCCTAAACCCTAAACCCTATTCGGCCCGACCAAAACGCTTAAACCCTAAACCCTGAACCCGCGAGGACACCACGTCCTCACTCCGACAGCCCAAAGCCTGCAAAACCCTGCACCCGAAACCTGAAAAAAAAACCTAAACCTGCAAAGACCAGAACCCCAAACCTGAACAACCCTAAACCCTAAACCCTAAACCCTAAATCCTAAACCCTAAACCTCTCTCAACATATACAATATGAACCCGAAAGGCAGACAGTCAGGGAGCCCCGTTGGGCACTCCCGCGCTGCAGGGTTGGAGAGCGCATGAGAGCGCGCTGCAGTGCAGCAAACGACTCACAGATGTCCAATCTGTGAACCCGGGCTAGGGTTTAGGGTTTAGGGTTTAGGGTTTAGGGTTTAGGGTTTAGGGTTTAGGGTTTAGGGTTTAGGGTTTAGGGTTTAGGGTTTAGGGTTTAGGGTTTACCGTTCAACCAGCAAGCCTTTGAACCGCAGGGCGAGGATAATTGGGAAGGCAACTGTCCAGAATGGTCTTCAACTTTGCCTCCTCCCCTTCTTCTGCAGTTTTTGTCGCTCCGCTAGGGCCTCCAATGGGCATCATGCAGAGAGACTATGGGCTTGCAGCAGCTTGCAGAAGGTCAATTTTGGCTGCCATGTTGGGATGTTAGGTTTAGGGGTTTAGGGGTTTAGGGGTTTAGGGGTTTAGGGGTTTAGGGGTTTAGGGGTTTCGGGTTGGTTATACTCACAGTCCTTCATTAGGACAATAGTACCCCCGATTATAATCCCTATTCATGACTGCTAGAATATTGGGAGCATCCCAAGTTCCATGCCTAGTCGGGTACCAACCCTCATGTCCAGCCCAAAATAAGGTCAATTTTGGGCGCCGGCCCCAAAATGGGGTCCCAACGCTCAGCCCTGATTTG